CAGGAGAGAAGAGGATATAGTTTAAAATGAACGCAGGCACCAGTCAGAGGAAGCCGGACGGCTCGGCTCCTCACCCAGCCCGCAACGGACCGCCCGCCCCGCCCCGCTCTCCCCGCGCCGCTCTCCGCCTCGCTGCCGCCTTCCAGCCTCCAGCCTCCAGCCTCGTCCTTTCGTTCATTCGGGTGTTGCCGGCCTACTGCAGGTTGGACCGCGGGGTTAGTCTCGGAGAAACAGCTCACCGTGATAGCAGTAACAATGAACAAAAAAACATTTATTAAACATTTATTCGATGTGTGCCAGGCGCTGTTCTAAAGGTTGTATATTTACTAACACATGTAACGATAGGGTAGGCAAAATTATCATTCGTGCTTTGGAGATGAAACAAAGCCACACGGTGAGCGGTGGGGTCCGGATGGCAACCCAAGCCATCGGGCTCCAGAGCCCACCCACTCAGCCACGCTGAGCGCCTTCCTGCAGCTTCCATATTTTTGTGGCTTCCATCACAACGCATTGTCAGAAGTTTTAGAAGAATTGTGTAATATGGGCGTGCCTCCAGATTTTAGAGCCTTCAGTTTTATAAGGTTGCCAATGAGAAGAAGTGGGCCTTATCTCAATGGCTCTAATTACCCTGCTCCCCGGAAGGGGGAGGCTAAATCCATCCAACAGCTCTACAACTTCCCACCTGGCTTTTACTCCATGGTGGTAATCACAAAGGCACATCCAGCAATTTACACCAAGTCATACAACATTCAAGTAAAAAATGTCCAATGCTCCAACTTTCTTTGATAAACAATAGAAAATGCTAAACACTCGGCTTATCTACCTTGTTATCTTAAGGCATAACCTGCATTACCAGATTCATCTTTCTGCAACTAGCTAAATTACTCATTACACCTCAGTTACTCAATCAAAGAAAGAAAATTGCAAATAGAATTTTTGACTAAAAACTTTGAGAGAATTTCACTTGAAGCAAAATAAGGAAGAAACTAGAACAATCCAAATCCCAGCAGAAGGGCAAGCGAAGCTGACAACAAGGTTGACTCAATGACACGCTTCAAGGGCCCCAGCCCAATTAACCACATGGGAACGGCACCTACACCCATCCCAACCATGACCCAAAATCCAGAAGCAATTAAAGAAGAAATGAATAGGCTGGAGCACATGAAAATAAAATAGCATAAGCGAAGTCATCAATTCCAATACTGAACGTATCATAAGTCGCCCACCACGACCCTACCAACCCTGCCCTCTGCCAGGATGCCAATGGCTCCCCCCTGGCAGACCAGCAGCCTTCCTGCAGTCTCCTTACTCCTCGACCGCCCTCTCTGGAGACGACGCCACCGTAGCTGGGTTCCCTCCTCCGTTGGCTTGCATGACACTCTCTCCCCCTCCCCCCAGCCCTAGGTGCGCAACTCAGAACCATTCTTTACCTACCCCTCCTCCCAGCTCCTAACAAAGCTGTCCCCAAAATTTCAGGTTTGGATCTCCTGCTCATTTCTTTTTCAATTCTCTCCCTTAGGGACCCTAACTATCCAGAAGTCTGCTGCCCTCATCTCCCTCCTGAACTGTATAATCCCATGACTCTCACTGCCGAAAGGCATTTTTGTTTTTATATGAATATCCTGGTATTAGTACTTCAAATTCACATCTTAAACCAAATTCATCTTCTCCTCCAAACTTGACTTCACTGTTTTCAAATGTGCCCTCCCATTTCACACACGCGCGCGCGCACACACACACAACCACAGACTGCTGGAGCTCCCCTCTGCACTCCCTCAACCCCTTGTCCACGCCTCAAACAGCCCAGACTACCCATTATAACCTCTGGCTCGTGGGTATGTTTGTTTGCCTCTCCAAGTACAACAGATTGTAAAACTCCTTGAGGGGCAGGAATTGTATCTTAGTTGCCTACGTATTCCCAAGGACTTTTGAAGGTGCTCAGTATAATCAGCTAAAAAGAAATTAATCAGCATGGACCATCTGTTGCAGCCAAACTGGTCCATCTAGTGTCCACAAGATCGGCATTTTCACAGATCCCACTTCCAAGAACAGCCCTGTCTCTGCTGTTGCACATATGGAAAACCCCTACCCGTCCTTCTCAAGACTCAGCTGAAATTTCACCTGCTTCATGAAACTTCGTCAGGGGACCCATTCCAAGACTCCTCGTTCATCAGTCGTGCAGTGGTAGTTCGGTGTCAAAAAACAGTGTCACCTTTGAAGCTACAGAGGCCTGATTCAAAACCAGGCTCTGGCATAACCTAGCTGCATTCATTGTGAACAAGTTCCTGAAGTTTTTAAAGCTATAAAATGAGGTAAACACTGCCTCTCATAGAGGATTTGGGAGAGGGGTAAAGGAGAGTAACCCATCTAAAACATGGTAGATGTGTGGGAAATGTTAACTCCTCTCCCTCCTCACCTCTGGCCCGCTTCATTTATCATTGTCACGGCACTTAAGTTGATAATGTATGTCATCTCTCCTCAGCTGCATCTCAACGACTTGTAACATCCTCAGCGGTAGGAGCTGAATCTCATTCATCTTTCTATCTGCCAAGCACCTATCAACGCGTCTTACATAAAGGCACAGTAAAATTGAGAACAAAAACTACAGCTATGATGGATTATGGCATTCAAGTGTAAATTGTGCCAAGATTAGAGCAGACAATCATAAATACTCATCCAATCTAGCGGAATTACTACATGGTACCTCTAATTTCACTCATGCCAAAGGCTGATTTCAACAAGGAACAGTACAAATAGAGACAAATTAATTTGTAGAGCGTACAAATTAATAAGTAATCTTTGATAATAACATTAAAGATGGCTTAAATTAAATGTTACAGTTGGTTATTAGAAAAATTTATGCATGTTTTTGTTCCCATGCACTTTTATGCAATGGCTTCCTTTCACATAGTCTTTGATTTAATATAATTGTAACAGATCCCTGCATATTACCTGTTAACTGAAATTAGATTGAGATTTTTATATTCTCCCACCAGGGGAAAAAATTAAAGGCTAATACTAAAGAAAAAATGGCAAGTTGAAGGTTCAAAACTTGTGCTAATTACAGGTAAAATCTTTCAAAAACTAATTAAAATGTTTTCTTTCGAAATTGTTTTCATTAATACCAAGCCTTGGACACCCTCTCTGAACTTACTGGAATATTCCTTTTCTCCATCCTGATTTACGGCGGCTTTCCTTTAAGACGTATTATCTTCATCAAGGATCAATTCCCATGGCTGGGTTTCGTTTTTCAACTACTGCCCCACTTGCATGTGCTAACAGGTTGGAGGAGCTGCAATCTGTTGGGCAGTAACCTCCGCTCTAACAATCAGCCCTTCACTGCACTGCCAATCACATTCCCTTTCCCTGCAGAAACTGCTTCTGTAGTTTTCATACACCGGAATGCACAAGTATAAATTTAATTTGAAAAAGCAATTTGGAATAGGAGCTTCCGTGCCAAATACCATCCTTTCAAGATGTTCACGCCTCCAAGCTCGTTTTGTTTTGTTTTGCTTTCCCATGTGGAGAAGTTTATAGCAAGAAATAGAGGCATGCAGTTCTATCAGACCAATCCACTAGAGCACAGAATACACACACACTCTCTCTCTCTCTCTCTCTCTCTCTCTCTCTCTCTCTGCCCCCCCACCACCCCTGCCTCCAGGATAATAGGAAAGAGCCAAAAGACAGGCATCAGAAGACCAACTTTGTAATCTCAGTTCAACCACCTATTATATATCTGTAGGCAAAGCCACAACCTCTCTCAACTTCATCTTCCCCTTCTATGAACTAGAGATAATAACCATTATCCCTATCTCAGCAGCTTATTTCAGAGATTGTAAAAACACAGCATCACAAATAGCACTGCATAGTTGTAAAATGTGTGTGAATGAATATATACACATAGCCATGTCACTAAGGATAAATATAAAATAATGTTATAGCATTTATTAAAGCTCCACTTAAATACTTCACTAGACAAATTGTTATACCAAATTCTAGATGCAATATACCAATAGAAATTTTTTTGAGAAAGAGAATCTAGCTTGGAAACATACGTTCACCATCTAGTTCATAATTTTTGGAGCAAGTATCATTCTCTAATCTAGATTAATGTTCTTGCAAGCAAATTTTTATTCACAATCATAGCATATCTAAATTTTCCCTTTCAATCACTCAAACTTAGTGTAAAAAAGTACTGGAGGATAGTTCTTCATATCTTGTGCTAAGAATGTCTACATTATGATCTTAAAAGTCAAAGAAAGGATAATTTAACAACTTTAGTTTATTAATGTTAAAAAGAGCAACACCATTAAATTAGAAGATTCCTAGGTCATTACTTCCAATTTCCTAGGTAAAAACATCAATATCCTTTCATTCTCCAAATAAAAGATTCGCTACATAAACACACATACATTTCCTAAACTGTGCTTTTGGTTTTAACTTTTTATATATGGCAACTTTTAAACACTAATTAAATTGTTTAGTATATGTGTTTTATTTTCTTTTTAGTTGCTTACAGTTTTCTATGAGCTCTTAAATTATAGCAGGATTCTGGCAGGCTTTACATTATTTGTTGTTCCAATTAATTAAAACTGTTTAAAACATGGATTTTAAAAATCTTATGTTACCATATGTTTGCAGCTAAAATTCTTTTTCCAAACTTTGCAAACATTCTGTGCAACCTAAATTAGTGCTGAGATCAACCTGGATTTTAACAGTTGCTCAATGTTCTTCAAAAGGTAAAAAGCATATGTTTATCTGAACTACACCCATTTTAAATTTCAACACAGCACACCTCTCGTGTGTTCTCAAGACAAATTTTAAACCATACATATTGGGATTGGTTATTACTGAAGGTAATTTATGCAATCAGGAGCCAAAGATGCTAAATTGGCAAAAAGAAAACTATGCAAGTAAGCAAACTCTACCACATGTGGGACACACCTTCTCAGTATATAAAGGCTTGTCACTGTCCTTGGTAGCAGCAGGCACTCCCTGGGCTGAACAGCATCACCATGTCTGTTCGCTACAGCTCAAGCAAACAATACTCTTCCTCTCGCAGTGGAGGAGGAGGAGGAGGGGGAGGTGGAGGAGGATCCATCAAAACGAGCAGCAGAAGCTCCCATGGTGGAGGATACAGCTCAGGGGGGGGTTTCAGTGGTGGCTCTTTTAGCCGCGGGAGCTCTGGTGGAGGCTTTGCGTGTTCATCCGGTGGCTATGGAGGAGGACTAGGAGGTGGTTTTGGTGGAGGTAGTTTTGGTGGAGGCAGTTTTGGTGGAGGCTATGGAAGCAGCAGCTTTGGTGGGGGCTACGGAGGAGGTGGTTTTGGAGGGGGCGGCTTTGGAGGTGGGGGCTTTGGAGGTGGGGGCTTCGGTGGAGGCAGCTTTGGAGGAGGCCTTGGTGGTGGAGGATTTGGAGGAGATGGTGGCCTTCTCTCTGGAAACGAAAAAGTAACCATGCAAAATCTAAATGACCGCCTGGCTTCCTACTTGGACAAAGTCCGGGCTCTTGAAGAATCAAACTATGAGCTAGAAGGCAAAATCAAGGACTGGTATGAAAAGAATGGCAACTCGAGCCAGAAACAGCCTCGCAACTACGACAAATACTACCAAACCATTGACGATCTTAAAAACCAGGTAAGGGGCATTTTAAAATCCAACTAACTTAAAGCCTATTTTTCAAGCATGTAATTCAGATAGATCAATTTTAAATTAACCATGATGTAGCTGTTCACTATGTCTGCTTGTTTTACTTTCTTTATTCCAAAAACAATCCAGTCTCATCAAAGGTAAATATTCGCGAGGGCATGGTCATTTCAATCTTCATCTTCCGTGGGTGTTGTGTGTCTTATAGGATGATGGATTACTGAAAGTTTTTTTGTTTTTAATTAGTGTCTAAGGAGTCCATAGTTATAATATACTAGATCATCTACAAATATAAAATCTGAACGAATTGTTAAATGACTCAGGACAAAATATTATTCAGATTGATAACAAAAAAAGTACTCATTACCACCAATACAAGAAACATTAACTCTCCAGTAGGGAGATGAGATATTGCTTGCCTCTAGGGATTTGTGAATTGTACCTACTGTGTACCAGCTTGGAGTGTATTCGTTTAGAATATGTATTTATAACAAATTAAACCAAATAAAGGATGAGTCAGTCAAAACTCGGCTGACCTATGTGGAAATCACACAGTAACAAGAGCGGGGCATGCATGCAGGAACACAGCTATGTAATTCCAGTTAGTTTTTGGAAACAAGTGACATAGAAAAAGAAGAGTATAGACCCTTCAAGAGAACAAATGACCCAATTTTAGTGGAAGGGTAAGCCTGCACTAATATAAATCTTTCATATTTAAAATAAAAAATTTCCCCCAAATTGTGTAAGAGAACATTAAAAAATGCAGTTCATCTATGCCGGTACAAAAGACGTCCTTGTATCTGATTTCTTCACCTCTTCCTGCAGATCCTCAGTCTGACAACTGACAACGCCAATGTCCTGCTTCAGATCGACAATGCCAGGCTGGCAGCTGATGACTTCAGACTGAAGTGAGCTAAGTGGATGGGTACCCTACTGTCACAACAAACACATGAGTTGTTTTTAACAATGACTTCGGATCTCCACAATAGCAGTTACAGTTTCCTGAATTCATTTAAACAGCATTGTAGCTGTCAGAAAAATTTTCCGTTTCCGTATTACCTTTTTGGGCAATATTAAAAGAAGAAAATGCATTTTAAAGTAACTGCTAAGCTTCGTTGCATTAAACCACTAATATCCCTTTGTGAATTACTATATGATAAATGTTGCCATGATATGAAGTCCACTTCTACTTGCTTTTTAAATAGTCTATGCCCTTATGTGGTGCACCTCCCTTACATGTTACAGGCAGTAACTGTACCGTGCTTGTTTCAGGTATGAGAATGAGGTGGCCCTGCGTCAGAGCGTAGATGCCGACATCAACGGCCTGCGCAGGGTGCTGGACGAGCTGACGCTGACCAAGGCCGACCTGGAGATGCAGATCGAGAGCCTGACTGAAGAACTGGCCTACCTGAAGAAGAACCATGATGAGGTGATGCAAAAAGTTAACACAGTCTTTCCCCAGCCAAAAGATTGCTCATTTTGGTCATAGAGAAGTCATTAATTTTTTTCTGCTCTTCAAACAGGAAATGAAAGACCTTCAAAACGTGTCCACTGGTGATGTGAATGTGGAAATGAATGCTGCCCCAGGTGTTGATCTGACACAACTTCTGAATAACATGAGAAACCAGTATGAAGAACTTGCTGAACAAAACCGTAAAGACGCTGAAGCCTGGTACAATGAAAAGGTAATCCACTTTCCTTCATGGCGAAGCCAACGAAGGTATAGTGATCATTTCAGATTTTTCTCATCTTTCCCTTTTCCTTATACTCTAGAGCAAGGAACTGAATATAGAAATCGATAATAACATTGAACAAATATCCAGCCAGAAAAATGAGATTACTGAACTGAGACGCACCGTTCAAGGTCTGGAGATCGAACTACAGTCCCAACTAGCCCTGGTATGTGAATCACTCTCACACCAAGTTTCACGCTCAGTAAGAATATGCAACAGCAGAAAACCTAGAGTAGAAATGAACATTGGAGCTCTTTGTTCGTGGGAGAAAAGCACTACTGGCATTGATCGGAAAGTGCTGAAATGGAAGTGTGTCATTCAATGTAAAACACAAATTCTATTCATTTTCTTTATGGTTCTATATGCTGTCTTAAATTGTTAAATAAGATTCGCTTTACTCAGTTGAACTAGGGGCTCGTTTCGCCACAACTTCTTCTCTCCTCTTTTCAGAAACAATCCCTGGAAGCCTCCTTGGCAGAAACAGAAGGTCGCTACTGCATGCAGCTCTCCCAGATTCAAGGCCAGATCTCCTCTCTGGAGGAACAGCTGCAACAGATTCGAGCCGAAACCGAGTGCCAGAATGCAGAGTACCAGCAGCTCCTGGACATTAAGATTCGACTGGAGAATGAAATTCAAACCTATCGCAGCCTGCTAGAAGGAGAGGGAGGGTAAATTACGCAATTTTATGCTAATTACTTTTATTCACTATTCCAAATCGCAAGGCTCTCCCAAAACCCATAGAAGTGCCAGAGACTGGGAGAAATGGGAGCGACGGGAGGAGGCCGAGTACAGAAAAAGGCGGACGTGGCTCACGAAACCGGTCGTTATGGTGGTGTGCACATAAAATTGTTTGGAAAGAATATGTTTTAAAATACATACTTGGCAGGGGGGCGGTTTCCCAGCAAAACGTTTTATTTTCTAAAGAAACAGGGGGGAGCGACCCGCTGCCTCCCCGTGCTGTACAGGTAACTGAACGTGACGTTTACTCCCTGTAGCTCCGGCGGCGGCGGCGGCGGCGGCTCTTACCGCGGCGGCGGCGGCGGGCGCGGCGGCGGCGGCGGCGGTTCCGGCGGCGGCTACGGCGGCGGTTCCGGCGGCGGCTACGGCGGTGGCGGTTCCGGCGGCGGCTACGGCGGCGGCGGTTCCGGCGGTGGCAGTTCCGGCGGCGGTGGCAGCTACGGTGGCAGTTCCGGCGGCGGCGGCGGCGGCTACGGCGGCGGCAGCTCTGGCGGAGGCCAAAAGTCTTCCGGGTCCGCCGGCGAGTCAACTAAGGGACCAAGGTCAGCAGAAACTACCTGGGGTAATTAGAATTAGTTTTAACTTTCTAAAGAATTAAAATGTCAGGGTTCCCACGGGCATTTTTTTTTTTTTTAAAGTTATACTCGACACCAGTGGTGAAGGGGAAATGGCATGGTCTAAAATGCTGTATCTTAAACATTGCTGGGACTTTTTTTTTAAGCAACTTTAAAAAGTTAAAAATTTCTTTTTAAATTTAGTGTATTTTTCTTTTAGAAATTTTGCTTGTTCATTAGTGGGGATCCCCATAAATTGCTGAGTCTAAAGTCTTTTTTTTATTCCACGATTCCTATGCAGATACTAATAAAACCAGAGTGATCAAGACAATTATTGAAGAAGTGGCACCTGATGGTAGAGTCCTTTCGTCTATGGTTGAATCAGAAACCAAGAAACACTACTATTAAGCCACATCAAGAGGAAGGTGTCTCCCTTCACGCAGGCCATTTTGTACAGATGCACGAAAAACAAAATCTGCAAGAAAGCACTTCAATCTTAATGGTCTATGGAAATAGGTTCCCTCTTTGAAAATAAGGTGTCTAAAAGGTGTTTTGTGGTTTCTGTATTTCTTCTTTTTCACTTTACCAGAAAGTGTTCTTTAATGGGAAAAAAAAAATTTCTATTCTCATTTACTAATGAATTCAATAAACTTTCTTACTGATGCAAACTATCTTTTTGGTCAGAATTGTCTTTATTTAAATTAGATATTTTTAACCTTAAACATTAATAAACTGTAGCATTTGAAGATTGATTTATAAGAAATTCTGAAGAGAGAATTATTGTCATTGTGATCTCTCTGAGTAAATTTTTTAATCTCGTGGGTATGTTGGACCAATATCAGTAATCTCACAGAGTAAAAAGACCATGAGTTGCCAATCTTATTCTTTCTTAAAGATGCACAATATGTAGAAAGGTCTGTCTTCAAATTATTTCAAGCTTGGAAATTTTGAACTGTCTCAGCTAAGACCCCAAAAATAAAGTTAATTGGAAATTTCGCATTTTCTGATTACTTCTCACATTTACCTGCCCATATTTTTTTCCCATTACTATATTCTGCCCAATTGCTATACAGCTTAAGAGAGATTTTCCAATGTTTTCTAGCACAATGAAGTCATGTTAAACAAAATCATGTGTCTATCAGATGAACAGGAGAAGCACTGTCAAGCCATGATGACATCAATTTGACCAAAGGGACACCTCTAGGTTTTAGCTTCTGCCGACCATGCCCAGTGCTCAGTACCAAAAACCTGGTACTTGTAGGTTCAACCCTATCACCACGTCCTTCAGCCAGTAAGAACCCAAATGTTATTACTTCATCTTCTGCTAGTATATGGGGTAGGTAAGGGCTGGAGTTATCCTTGCACCTAAGACTACCTTATGTTCCCTGATGTGCCCCGTGTCTACCAAGCAGCATTCCTCAAGATCCTTCCTGATAATGAGCTCCGGTCTTCCAAGGACCTGAACCCTGGTCCCTAAGCCGTTTGCTTAGGACTCCTGGTAGGTAAACCCTCCTCTCTGTACCCCAGATTGATGGCTGAAGCCCTGTTTCAATGTGAATAACTTTCCCTATAGTCAAGTTTCCATGACCTGCCTGGCACCAAATACTATCATAGTTCAGAGATTCTCCACCTCGTTCAGATGTCCTACCATATACATACCAGCCACTTTGGGGGAGGGAGGGTGAGTCTTCTAAGGTTCACTATTTAAGTCTCAACGTGCCACAGTGTAAAGCCCTGAAACATATTGCTGAGCTTTGAACACCTGTGTATATGCTGGCTGCTGTTCAAAAACATTGTCTTTTAAAATATTTATTATCTAACAGAATTACCCAAGTCCCTGAGACCATTCACCTTATTCTGAAGGAGTAAGTATTAGGTAGCTTTGTCTCTTCTTCTACCCATTCATAAACCAGAATCTCAGCTGGTCAGAGTTCTTTATCTGATTGGCTGGTGAGCCAAACCTTCAATCCTGGAAGGTCTGAATCATGGTGGTCCTGTTGTCTGACCTTTTCAACGTTCCAATATCTCTTTAAACAATTATATTAAGTTCTCTCTAATAAAGAACTACTTTCTTGATGGATGTTAACTTATTGTGGTAATTGTATTGCAATATATGTATGTCACCTATGCTGTACACTTTAAATTTACATAGAGCTGTATGTCGATTACATCAATAAAACTGATAAAAACTACTTCTTAAAACTATTTTTTTTTTTAAACTGGACTCTGAAACTACCATTTAATAAAGACAGTCTAAACAAACAATTTGATTTCACAAGAACATTGGTATAGTAAAAAAATATTGTTAACTTTACAGGTCACTATTTCTATTACATAAATTTATCACACAGTTATTAATCAAAAAAATCCTGTAGCCCTGGCTGGTGTGGCTCCATGGATCGAGTGCTGGCCTGCAAACTGAAAGGTCGCTGGTTCAGTTTCCAGTCAGGGCACATGCCTGGGTTGCAGGCTGGGTCCACAGTTGGGTCGTGCGAGAGGGAACTGAGCGATGTATCTCTCACACATCCATGTTCCTCTCCCTGTCTTTCTCTCTTCCTCCCCCTCTTTCTAAAAACAAACAAAATCTTTTTTAAAAAATCCTGTACATACCCTTACAGATTATAAACTTGTTATAGAGTCCTGCTATTTAAGCAGGACAGCATCCAATGGGAGTAGCAGAGCCTATTTTTGGCACTCACGTGGAATCCTACTAAACAGCAAAAGCTTGTTTCTCCAAAGATTTTGCCTGATGCTGTTAATAGGTCTTAAAGCTTTGCCCCCTGACTTGGATATTCATGATCACTTGATATTTTGGGCGTGGAAAAGGAGCTTTGTCATAATTGGCTTAATAGGAGAAATAGCTTACGTGAGTTTAACTAAATAAGGTCCATCCAGTATTTACCATCTCAATTGCAACTTGAGAGTGAGAATTAAAGAAAGAGCTCATCTTGTGATTATAAGCATGCATTTTGACGTCATGATTCCTAGACTTCATATTGCGGCACTGGCATTTACAAATTATAGAACTTTTAGACAAGTTACTTAAACTCTTTTGAGTCTCACTTTTCTATACAAGAGGGATAATAACTACCTCAAATGAGATTATTGTGGAGCTAAAATGAGTTAATACCTATGAAGTCCTTAGAAAAATCCCCACCATCAAGTAGGTACTGAAGAAATAGTGTTATGTTCATCTTCAAAGAAATGTGCTTATTGGTGGAATAACCTAGTTTTCCCAAAGACGAACATGAGCACCACAATGTGTTGTTTGAGTAGGTGATCATTAATGTGGTCTGCGAACCAGACCAGAGAACCAGGTCATGTTGCTCTCCTAGGACTGCAAAATTAAATTCCAGAGAGTAAGAAAAATGACAAGGGCGTGTCACAAAGGATTATGACTAATCTAGTCCTGTGACCTTGAGGGCCAATAATAGAGAGCAAGAGATCTGTGAAAATAAGTGAGAAGGACCAGACGATTGCCCCAACGTTTTGGGATAATTGGCCACCCCTAAAATCCAGCACCTGTAGCCAACCTGATCATGGCGCGACCTACCTAAGCTGTGTCACTTTGTGAGAAAGAGAAACGAGTTACCCCAAAAGAAAGAAATTCGGTCTCAAAAACTGGTAAAAGATTATTTCTTTTTTATTGTTTTTATTGAATTTATTGAGGTGATATTGATCAATAAAATTATATAGGTTTCAGGTATACAATTCTACAACTCATCATCTCTATATTGAATTGGGTGTTTACACCCCAAGTCAAGCCTCCTTCCATCACCGTTCGTGCCCCCACCCCACCCTGTTACCCTGGTCTACCTCCCTCCACCCGCCGTCTTCCCTCTGGCAATCACCTCACTGCGATCCAGGAGTCTTTCTTTTATTCCTTTGCTGAATCCCCTCACCCTTCTCACCCAATCCCTGACCCCCGCCCCTCCGACGACTGTCACTGTCTTCTCTGGGATTTTTTTTTTTAAGATAGATTTATTTATTTATTTTTAGAGAAGGGAAGGGAGAGAGAAAAAGAGAGAAACATCAATTTGCAGTTGCAACTCACGTGCCCCCTACTGGGGACCTGGCCTGCAACCCAGGCATGTGCCCTTCACTGGGAACCAAACTGGTGACTCTGGTTCGCAGGCTGGTGCGAATCCACTGAGCCACACCAGCCAGGGCTGTTCTCTGGGATTTTTACTTTTTTTTTAAGGATACCCTTTGAACCAGACGGTTCCACTGAAAACCATGTCAAAGGAGGAAGAACTCCAAGTTGTCACATTGATCCTCAGTGTCTCTAGATAAAAACACAGCACCATCACATCTCAATACTAAGAGATCTTTCCAGCCTCATACCAGTAAGAAAAGGAAGGAATTATTGTTAATTGGTATAAATATTGAATGTGACCTCAGGGGAGGAAGGATTTGGGGAGTGCTCTGAAAACAGCTTTGTCCTTCAGACTTTTAGCAAGGGAAAAAAGCACATACTTAAGCTTTTAATTAACTTTTCCTATTCCAAGTAAGTTACACCAGGAGAAATGCCCGAAAGGCATGGGTTCCATGGCTAGCTGAACTAGGCCCAAGATAATGACCCCTTTGGAAGAAGAACTCTCATTAAAAATTCTGATCTATAGAACCTCTGTAAGGTTTTGTCAAGTGAGAAATTTGAAGAGGGGACTAGAAAACAAAATGGCACTAAAAGGCATCCCCATAGCTTGAATGAAAGTTGTAAAAATAAAAGCCAGTAGGGGATGGCCAATATGCCCCATGTAAAGATGCTCCACATCACTAATTGTTAAGGAAATGAAAGTTAAAACTACAGTGAGATACCACCTCACACCCATTAGTATAACTACTATCAAAAAATAGGAAATAGCAGGTGTTGGCAAGGATGTGGAGAAATTAGAGCTCTTGTGCCCTGTTGGTGGGGATATGAAATGGTGCAACTGCTATAGAAAACAGTATGAGGTTTCCTCAAAAATATTAAAAATAGAAGTACCATATGAGTCAACAATAGCACTTCTGGGTCCAAGAGAATTTGCAATCGGGGCCATGTTTGCAGCCACATTATTCACAAAAAGAGCTTTGGAAGCAACTATTTTATTCCCTGCTACTAGTACAGTGCCTGGTACATAGTAGGTGCTCATTAAAGTTTCCTTTATATTGTTATGAGTTTTATTTTTAAAAAACAAGTTTTTATGAGAAACCTAAGTTTCCTCATTTTAAATCAGAGAAAAGAAACCTCTCTTCCAAATTCCCAGATTCATTTTAAGGTTCAAATAAGATAATACATAAGAAATCACTTAGGGCGCTGTAAAGCACCATATAAACGTAAGGAAGTTTTGTCTTTTACTCGTTGTGCTCTGGCACTTTGAAAAGATCAATACTGAGGTTACTTCTTGACCAAGGATTTAATAATTCCAGTTCCAGCCAAAGCGTGGGTTCAGAACCTAAACCACATCCATTTGAGAGTGAGCACTGCCCCCTGGTGGAAATAGAAGGGCAGGGGCAAGTGTAGTCAATGCGGCGTTGCCGGCTGTGATGCCGACTCCCTGAGGAGAAAGAAACCACTTACCTAAACTTAGGCTTCTTTCCTTTTTTTGTCACAAATGTTCTTTTGGAAATATTTTCTTCACATGTGCAGGGTGTAGACACATTACACCCATAACGTGTCTAATTATTATTTACAGTTAATAATCAAGCACTGAAGGGATTTCTAATTTCTTTGATAATATTCCAATTCTTTAATACTTTGATTCAATAATTCACTAACAATTAAAAGAACGATTTTACAATTTGTGTATCATGTTAATACTATTGATGACAACATATAAAGTAGGTATTTGTGTTGGCATGGCTCATTCAGAGTATATCTAAGATACGCCCCATGGTGCCAGAATCTCAAGGCCATTTTGAACATCATCCCAAGTCTTCACCTGGCATGTGCCTGGTGACTCTGAGCAACTTGTTTAATGTTTCTAGTCTCGGTTGCCTCACCTACCAAATAAAGGGGTGAAATTAGGCAATATCTAAGGCTCTTTGCAGCAAAGAAAGATCTTACAACTTTGCCCAGAGAAGCGGCATTCAAAGGCGATGCTGATGCTTGTGACAATCGCCACCTGACCAGGCTTCAGACTGCTTGTGCCAGCACAGTTCCAGGACTCTCAAACTGTTCTGGTGACAAAAACAACTTTATGCCCTGGCTTGTGTGGCTCAGTGGAATGAGTGCCGGCCTGCAAGCCAAAGTGTTGCCTGTTCTATTCCCAGTCAGGGCACATGCCTGGGTTTTGACCAGGTCCCCAGTAGGGGGCGCACAAGAGGCAATCACACATTGATGTTTCCTTCTCTTTCTCCCTCCCTCCCCCTCTCTAAAAAATAAATACATAAAAATCTAAATAAATAAGTAAGATATATAGTTTTTAAAAAACAACTTTATACCTGACTTCACCGCGGAACCTGAAACCAGTCAAGTCCGACTAAGTCCCTCCTACCCCTTCACCTGCTTCCTACCCCCTCCTACCCCCACCTCTGTTCAAGAGATTTCCCAGGGTACTTCCTTCTCACCTCACTTTCTCAGCTTGACCTTCTCAGACCCCACTAGAAGTACACACCCAGTTTGTAACACAGTAGCAAAGGTAATAGCAATGTCTGCCCTTCATCAACAGTTTTTCATTTGCTTGTGATCTCGTTTAGTGCCTCAGCAAACTTATCTGATGGAGACTTTTTTTATCCATATTTTCACCACTATCTGAACCCTTTCTGCAAGCATCTCTGGGTTCAATGTAGAAGATATTTTTTAATATCATTAACTAGTTAATGTACTTTTCTCCTGAACTGACCTAGCAACTTTTCTACGGGAAACAACATTCATCCCCTACCTCCAGTCTCGTCTTTCTCCCCACCCCTTTATCTCCTCCTGCATCCTTTCCCTCTCCTGCCTCCTCTCCCTTAGCTTTCTTCGTCCTTTATTGGCCCCTCCTCCATCTCCCCTGACCCCCTCCCCTGCCCCTCATCTCGACTCCCACTCCACATCTACAGACCTAATATATGGCCTTGGAGGCAGAATCCGTGCTGTCTAGATCCCCAGTGCTACATCCAGCTTTATGTCATTTAACTCCTAAGCTACACTTCTCCTTTTGAGGGCCATGCCCTTCATTGCCCCTCACCACACCCTCTCATTATCCAAGAATATCCACTTATCTCCCACTTCCTGCCATCCTTTAACACCCATAATCTAACAGTTCCTAACCGCCTACTCCAATGACTTCAGGTCAGTCCATGTCTGGCCTCTTATTCCAGTGACTGTTGGATCCAGTCCCCAAGGCCATTGACTGAACTTTGTCAAGATTTGGAGTTGTACCTACTTTAAAACTCTAAACTTGCTTCCATTGTCCAACTTTAACCCATCTTCCTTCACCCGCACCAATCTCCTGCTAACACTCTGCTTGCTCCATCACCACATAAAGATGCCCCATGACTCAGACATGTCTTCTTCCTTGGTGTATCTGTCCCTCTGGTCTGGCTCCCTTCTTTGTATAAGACCATATAGCTCATCACTTCAACCATTTTCTCAAGGACACCAGAAACTTCTTTGGTACTTCTCTCTTCTTCTGAACGTGCCTTCAAACCCTAAAACACACATCAGCCTGATCATCATCTTCTCTATTCCTTCTTAATGTCATTACAGATGAAAGCTGGGCCCTCAATTATCCCTGTTGATCGCTTCACTCATTGCTAGTCAGGTATTTGTTTTCAGTTCCATATACTTACTCTAAACATTCACAATCCTAATTAGTCATCTTCATCCCAGACATTCCACCAACCTCTCAAACTCAGCTGGTCAAAAACTAAACTCTGTATCCTCCTCCTCCTCCTCTATTCCTTAGCTCAGTTAGTATTTGGGATCCCAGCATCTGAAGTCAGTTACCTATGAGTCATCCCCAACTCTTCCTTATTCTCCATATTCAAGTAATTACCATATCCTCCCAACTTCATCTTCTTTCCATATCATTGCCTTTACCTTTCCCAGTTGGACCATTGTTTTAATATTGTAATTGACCTCTTTTTCTATTTCAACCTCATATGTTGTCCTCTTAGGATTCACTCAAACCCTTTAGACTAGCACATAAGGCTAAACATGATCCAGCCCTTGTCTGGTACTAACCATACATTCCTCAAAAATTGTAACCATATCTTTTTCATCTCTGTACTTATTTAACATCATGTCTTTATTTTTGCATTTAGCATTGAATACCATAGTGCCTATACATGTTGAATAAAAGAATCAGTCAATATTTACATTATTGTTCAAGGTAATTAATAGATGTTATAATCCTGGTAAGACCAAAGAGGTTACAGGATCATATTTTTTAAATAACATTTTTTTGCTCTAATGGGATAAAATATGTGTTTCTGTTATTAATGGTTCTTTATATACCTTTCTAGTAATTAAGACTCCGTAGCTGATAGTACCTATTACAGTCTTACTTAACTTTGGAAACTTTATAATATCCTGAGACAGATAATGATGGGATAGTCCTAGGGTCAAGATGAAAGTAAAGGATTACTCACTCAAAATTAGAAGTTAAAATTAAAGTAATGAACTTAATATAGAATAAACCCTATTATATGTAAGATAACAAATACCCCAAAGCAATAGACAGGGAGGTTAGACATTAATTTTTTTAAATCGTCCAATTACACACAATTTCATGCTAATCTGAATGATGCCATTTTTCTCTTGGCATGCATAACTCAAATAGAAACATCCCAATCACTGTGTATAAAAGCCCAAAGAAACCATCAGTGTACAATATTCTGTTCTCCTTTGAAGCTGCAGCTGTCCACAGACGAGGTGAACATTTCTCATACTACCATGTCTCTCCGATTCTCTAGTGGGTCCAGGCTGATTTGCTTGCGGTCTGGAAGCGGATCTGTCAGACCATCCAGTGGAGGTGCAGGCTTTGCAGGCAGCAGTGTCTGTGGCAGCTCTGTCGTTGGAGGTGGATTTTCCTGTGCCTTGGGAGGGGGCTTGGCCAGTGTTCCTGGTGGAAACCATGCTGGTGGTGCCTTTGGAAATGCCTCCTGTGCTGGCTTTGCTGGAAGTGAAGGGGGACTCCTCTCTGGGAATGAGAAGGTGACCATGCAGAATCTTAATGACCGCTTGGCATCCTACCTGGAGAATGTGCGAGCTCTGGAGGAGGCCAATGCTGAGCTAGAGAGAAAAATCAAGGGCTGGTATGAAAAATATGGTCCTGGATCTTGCCGTGGACTTGATCATGACTATAGCAGATATCACCTAACAATCGAAGATCTTAAGAATCAGGTGAGAAACCACAAATGTGGAACTATTCAAAGTATTTAAAACTAAGATTTACCTCAAAAAAGACATAGAAGTACAAGAAATGTTTCATAACTGCTATGTGTAATTCTTATTGCATTCATTTATTATTTATGTTGCTAATAATTCTTCCTGTTAGTCAAAAATAGGCACTTTGATTTATGTATTTCAGTGCAGCAAAATGTCAATAACTCCATTATTGTTTATTTTGAAGTATATTCATTGCCTGGGTTTTATGTTCTAAACTATTATGTTCTAAAGTTATATGAGTCTATGAGAAAAAAATAAACAATACCTGTAACTTTTTTTGATGGCTGGCCTTTTTTTTATTATATAATCTGTATTATATTTTTTCCACTACCGGTTAGTCCCCTTATCCCTCCCTCCCTCCCCCATACCTGTAATTTTTTTAAGTAAATTTTAAACATATTGGTTGTTACTTATGAAAGTAACAGGTTTTTATGCAAAAGCTTAATTGTGTAACATTTCTTATCTCCTAAAACAATAAATGATAAAAACTACTTATTTGTCATTTTCTTCCATTTGTTTTCTTCTAGATTATCTCTTCCACGGCTGCTAATGCTAATGTCATTCTGCAGATCGATAATGCCAGACTGGCTGCTGATGATTTCCGGCTAAAGTAAGTGACAGAAAATAATCACAGTCTAGAAAAAATTCCCCGTCTATTTATTTTGTTAAATAAAAATTTCGATTTGTACAGCCTGAGAGATTAGTCCTGGCCAGGTATCTCAGTTGTTTAGAGCACCTTCCCAATACACTGCGGCTGCAGGGTTGAGCCTCAGTCAGGGCACATACAAGAGTCAAAGAATCAACCGATGAATGGACAAATAAATGGGACAACAAATTTCCCTCTCTCTCTCTCTCCCCCTGCCCTCGCTTCTCTTTCTAAATATCAATAAATTTCAAAAAAATAAAGTACAACCTAAGAGATTAAAGGAAATGATGCATGTTATAAAACTATAATATGACACGAAGCTTGTTATAATATTTCAATCAGCTATACTCATAATTTGTACATATTTATTACATTGTTGGGACAAAAATATCATTGCATTTCTATGCCTGTCTACAACAGTGCCAAGAACAGATACGTTTATAAACATGCGTTGACTAAGTAAAAATATTAACTAAGATGAAATGCTCAAATGGCATGTTTTATTTCATGGGGATATGCAATTGGAATTTGTGTGATTAAATATCTGCAGATTATCCTTCACAGAATTGGGTGAGAGGAGTGGAAAATGGCTTTCTCTGTATACTTTTACAATATCTAGAGTCTTAATTCAATTTCTAACTTTCGATTAAAAACAATTGAGGTTTTATTGCCCTATCTCTTGAGGCAGCCTCACTTGTGCTGATGTTTGCTTAATGCCTCTCAAGGTATGAAAATGAGCTCGCCCTCCACCAAAACGCAGAGGCCGACATCAATGGGCTGAGGCGAGTTCTGGATGAACTGACGCTCTGCAGGACTGACCAGGAGCTGCAGTACGAATCCCTGAGTGAAGAGATGACGTATCTCAAGAAGAACCATGAAGAGGTAGGAGAAGCTTGGCTTCTAGTCACATTACAATCCTATACATTTTAAATACTTGGGGGGGGGGGGCGGCAATTAAGTTAAACTAGTAATTCATGCTGATTAGAATAAGTCAAACAGTGCCAAGAGAATTTCATTTCTCCCACTCTGCCTTCCTAATTTCATTCCCCAAGGTAATAAATGTTAATAATTTGATCTCTCAACATTTTCTCTCCTTAATGAACCTGAGTTTAGTTTGTTATTGAACCTATGCAATAAGAGCTCCATTATTTGACATATAACACCAGGCAACTTCAAAACCACCCCCCCCCCGCAAAAATTATTATCCCAAAAGTAATTACAAAAGTCTCCAAATCCATAGATGAGAAATTTTCAGAAAATAACCTATGACAGGACGTGGCCCATCGTTGGTTAGAAACGGCTAAAACATCAACTCTATTTGCCTCACAGAAGAAGGTTATGGGAGGGGGGAAAGGAGCATAAATTCAAAAGGGAAATTTCCAATAAAAGAGAAACAGGAAGAGCAGAGCATGTCCCAGAGCTGGGAAGCGGAAGAGGCAGGCCATCGCAACATCAGCTGGAGAGTGACAAACAAACGCGTGCACTGAGAGAGTGAGAACAGGGGCAGAAAGGGCAACCACAGCAGCCCAGCCAGTTGCGGGTCGGGATCAAACCAGGACTCATTGTCCCCCTTAAAGACAAACACACCGAAAGGAGGGACCTCTGAATGCACTGAGGGTGGAAACAAAGAGCCGTTCATATCTCAACATCCCACGAGCATGTCACATTTACCACACTCACCAGTGACCAGTGTCCCTAAGAATACTTCAAGCAATTCAACTTTCAAAACTTTGACAGCAATAAAAATTTTTCTTCACATGAATCTTACACAAAATTCCCAAATTATGAAGAGATAACTGAAAGTTATCAGTGCTCTCCTTGGGCAAAGTAAATCTTTTGTTCCTGTTGGACACCGGAAAGCCACCAGTCTAAGGTCATAAAAAGATGGTTTAAGAAAACAGAGATGGCAAACTGCCAACGGCGATTACTAATGAAAAAGGTCAGCTACCTAAAGAACTAAGTTCAGGTCATTAATAGGCTGACTTGTCCACAAATCTATTCTTTGACAGGTCAGACTATTTAATGAATCAAACCAGGACATATCCTAGCACAGAGAAGCCACAGAGTGTAGTTACTAAGAGCAGACACTCTGGAGCCAGGGCATAGACCGTGTTCAGACCCCGGTGTGTTCAAATCCCAGCCCTTTCGAGTACCAAGAATTTTGGGTGATTACTTTATATGCCTGTGCCTCAGTTTCCTAATCTGTCAAATAAGTCTAATAATAGCACCTACCACATAAAGAGGTTGAAATATTGGAAAGGGCTAAGGCATGCAAACTGCTTAAAACAGTACCTGGCATTCACAAGCACTAATAAATGATAGCTCCTGATTCTCATATGAGAGTTCCACGAGGACAGGGATTTTTTTGTTTTTTCAGTTTTTTCCCACTGCTTTATTCACATCCATGAAAAAACAAAAACAAAAACAAAAACAAAAAAACCCTGACATTTAGTCAATAGTTATGTGCTTAATAACTCCTCTGGTCTTTGTGTCCCCTTCTCCTTTAAAAGAATAAAACACTTCTCTGGAGATGCTGACTTTTTATTGTGGTGCTGGTTGGGATTGTTTAAATTAACAGATTATGAACTCAGTGGATGATTGGCATGACCATGGATCGAGTAAGTCCATTTTAAAGATCTCATGCCTTTAGTTATACGCTGGTATTGAAACCACAACCTTTGAGACACAAAGCAACGCGTCGGGAAACCGTTCTCAAACCGCGGGCTGCAGGCGGCCGTGAACGGCCCCTAAAGCCAGGCTCGCCTTTCCCTGCAGGAGATGAAGGCCCTGCAGTGCGCCGCGGGCGGCAACGTCAACGTGGAGATGAACGCGGCGCCCGGGGTGGACCTCACGGTGCTGCTGAACAACATGCGGGCTGAGTACGAAGCCCTGGCCGAGCAGAACCGCCGGGACGCGGAGGCCTGGTACAACGAGAAGGTGAGGGGCCCCCAACCCGCCCCGCGCACACCGCCCGGAGGGCGCAGGCTCGCTTAACCCCTTTGCGCCCGACCTCGCAGAGCGCTACGCTGCAGCAGCAGATCTCCGACGACGCGGGCGCTGCCACCTCGGCCAGGACGGAGCTGACCGAGATGAAACGCAGTCTGCAGACGGTGGAGATAGAGCTGCAGTCCCTCCTGGCAATGGTAGGTGGTGACAGCGCAAGTGAGCCTAGATTTCGTGATTCGAACAAGTCTCACTGAAACCCTTCCGTTTTCCCTGTTAAGGCTTTACCTACAAATATGTCACAGAAGGAGCAGGAAAGACCCTGAGACACTCAGAGACACAGGCAGCTTTCTTCCAGCCTATGGTCACTGAGGGTTTCTTCCCTGGAGGGTGCTCAGTGCCATTTTTACGAAAGAGTCCCTGCCTCGGGCAGCTCCTCTCAGCCGTGGGCAGCCAGCAGTGGGCTATTCGGCTCCACCTGGGAGCTGCACGGCCGGCTTCCACCAGGCCAGCGGCAGGGCCGGGCTGGCCTCATCAGCCGCTCCTCGTATTGAGGAAAGCCTCTTAAAAGCCACATTGCGTTTTCCAACAGGCAGGGGAAAGAGGGTACCTCTCTGGTTCGGCATGACTACTGTTAGCCTTTGCACCACCGTAGGATCCAGGACAGGAGTCCCTGTCCCGCACACCCCACAGAGCCGGCCAATGACTTCAGAGGTTACCCCGCAGACAACCCAGCACTGAACCAGCCTCCTTTCTGGAGCGTCAGCTGGCAGCACCCAAAAGCCTTGATTCTGAGAATTGTGACACGCATGGGGCCCAGGTTTCTCTGGCACCATCAGAGGCTGTAACGCAAAGAAAGAGCCACTATGATACGCATGAGTGCAGTAAGCCAAGAAAGAAAGAGGACTCAAAACAATGAGATTATTTTGATTTAGCCACCCTGAAAAGGGGCAGTGCTTATAGCATTTAGATTGGAGACTTATTTTACCACTGAATAACCACCCCCGCACCCCCCGCAAATAGCATGCCCCGCTTTTCACCCTCGTCACCGCCGATGGCTGGTACCCGAGACCCTCCCAGCCACTTTGAGCTCCTGAAGCGCTCCTCCCCCCCCCACCCATCCCTCCTTTCCTGCAGCTGGAGCCCTGAGGGCCCCTTCCTGCTGCTGTGCCCTGGGTATGAATCCCCCCGCCTCTCGTTTTGGAGCTATGTTTAAGAAAATAAATTTCTAAGTTCCCAGGTCAGAATTTAAGCATTTTCACATAGAAACAATGATGTTAGAAAGTAGTCAGAGTCTCCGCAGCCAGGACAGTCCTGCAGTTTGGGCTCATGAGAGAATCCGGAATAAAACACCTTTTTTTTTTTAACATACAACATAAATGAATTCTAGAATAATGGTGACATGGAACCTAACTTCCATACCTGAGATTCTTTTGTCATAGATGAACTCTAAGCAGGATCTCCTGTCGTTCTGCACACAAATCATGTGTAAGTTGAGAGTCTTCTAAATGGATAAAGGCTTCATGTGCTCTCTGTAGTATACCGACTTCCAAGTTCACCCTGTCCTCCTTCCTCATCTACGCGCCAACCTTTACAGCAGAAGGCTGTGGGATAGAGATGCTGTCCTCTCTTATTTAAGAGAGTATTAACATCCTCAGAAAGGAATTCCATATGCGGACAGCACCAAGGAAATTAAAGTTTTGAACATCCGAGCACACACCACACTGACACCTTGCCACTGCTCACCTCGCCCCCCCACCCCCATTACCATCCGGGGCACCGTCCACATCTTCGCCCCTGGAGAGCCCAGTACCACCCACCTCATGCACCCATCAGCCTGTTAGACCCAATGTCTGGCAGTCATGACAAACACTTCATAACTCCCTCGGTACAGTCCTAGGACGAAGTCAGTAGAGAATATATTTAGCTATACACACAAAAAGTATTTAAACTAGTACAATGCTGTAACTGCAGTAAAAAGGAGAAATAAATGTATTTTAAAATAAAATGCATTTAATATGTAAATGCTTGGGCCCCACTACCCTAGAATATGTAATGAAAGAAACAGAGGCTCAGACATTCCTTTGATAAATAATTTTTATTTTAAACAGTCATAAATTCCTCCGTACAAGATGAAAAGGGAAATAAAAGTGTGGAATAGGGGGTGGACACTTGGATAATAACTAATATCAGAAGAAATAATAAGCATCCAGATGTATTTATATATGATAAGGGAAAGAGGAAAATTACTTTAATTGAAGTAGGGATCACGTGACAAGGCAAATTACAGACTGTGGAAGTAAAAACAAGGAGGTATAATATTCACAAGAGTGGTGTTGAAATAACGACCTGCACTGTGTTATTAAATATACCTCTTGTCTTGAAATCCCTCCCCTGTAAAGGCATTTATCTCAGTCTCAGAGTAAGAAAAGGCCTTTGATTGACCATAGAAAAATCAAGGACTGACTAGAAAAAGAAACACGATACAGAGGCCTTGGAAGAGTGGTGAGTAGATCTCGGAGGACAGTAGCAGAATAAGATTGAAAAACAACAGGCAACCCAAAAATAAATATGTAATTTCAAAATGTAAGATTTCCAATATTGATTCCTTATTGCACTACCCCAAAAAGTGTTCTAACATACAGGTTGGTCGTAATAGGAAATATTCCCTAAATATCGTGAGTGTTCATTGAAACAGTCAAAAGTCTTAGGGCAAAAAAGGTCATTTATCTCATGCCAGGTCATCGAGCTGCCTGCCTCTCCTCTACCTCCAGTAAACACCAATCACTTCCCCTTCCTCTCCACCTCCCATTTTATTGTGACGAGCCCCACAAGTTTCCAAAACTCACTTAAGAAGCAGTACTGCTTTTTGCTGGGAAACACTGATCTGCATAGGCTTCAGAGTGGCTTCAATCCCTGCTCTGACATCTTTCACGTCCTCAGAAACACTCCCTGGAGTGCTCGTTGTCGGAGACGGAAGGCAACTACTGTGCGCAGCTGGCCCAGAACCAGGCTCAGATCGGGGCCCTGGAGGAGCAGCTGCACCAGGTCAGAACCGAGACCGAGGGCCAGAAGCTGGAGTACGAGCAGCTCCTGGACATCAAGGTCCACCTGGAGAAGGAAATCGAGACCTACTGCCGCCTGCTAGAGGGAGATGGAAAGTAAGTAACACCGTTTGAAAATCCCACCTTATCTTATCAGAAACCACAGGCACACATTGTCCGCCACCTTCCAAGCCTGCAGGCCTTTACTTCTTTATTCCCACAGCAGAAAAGCATGTTCCTCTCTTGCCTCTGCAGCCATCTCTTCCCTACTTTGTACACCACAGGCTCTTCCTCATCGGCCTTCAAAGACCCCAGTTGCCCCTGGAGATGCCCCTGTTTATCATCCATGTTAATCACTGTGTGTTTCCAGATTCTACCAACCTCCCTCCAGGTTTTATCCATCTTTCAGTTGATTCCTATTAGCACTGCTGCCCTGAAATAAATGTTCTCCGCACAAACTCCCAGGAGATAGACAGATAGATAGACACATACATACATACATACATACATATATACATACATACATACATACATATGAGATACAGATCCACTTTGTTTTAAATTCTTGAGTTTAAAAAATCAAATGGAAACAAGGTATATCCTCTCTTTAGAATAACATTTAATTACTTCCAGCTCCTGCCTCCCCCCGTCAAAAAATTCTGTTTTCCTTTATAAAAAACTAGCATCTGTTTTTGGCATACAGAGTTCACTTGAGTTCATGTTCACCTGTCAATTCAATTGCTCAGATGATAAGCAAAAATATTATTAAAAATAAACGGTTTGTTTGTTTTATAGCTCCTGCTCCAAATCAAAAGGCTTTGGATCAGGAAGCTCAGGGAGTTCATCTAAAGGTAATAAAGTCTAGTTCTATTTTTATTGCAGCAAATGGCAGTCATACACTATGGCAACAGGCTATATTTAAACAACTTTAACTAAAGTGCTTAGCTTCAAACATAAAATATTATTTTGAATGCTTAAGATTGTCCCAAACTATTACTATAAATCTGTACTCACTCCCTCTCCAAAAATATACATAATATAGTATATTGCAACCAGAAACTGAATTGTTATGTAATCTTTTAGGTTGAATATGTGTATTCACTTATGTCCTATTTCTAGATTTATCCAAAACTACACTGGTAAAGACGGTGGTTGAAGAGATAGATCAACGTGGTAAAGTCCTTTCATCAAGGATTCAATCCATTGAAGAAAAGACATCTAAAATGATCAATGGCAAGACAGAACAAAGGTTTTCTTTCTAGCTGTCATTTTTGAGAAACAAATAATTTGAAGAAGGACCCTGCACAACTGCATTATTCTAAATATCAAGGAGATAATAAAAATATTTTCTACTCTTAAAGATAAGTTCCTTAGCAAAAAAGAGCAAACACAAACCTATTTTCTTGTTACCTTTTACAGGAAGAAGTGTGTTTTTTTTCATATAAATAAAAACGTTGGTGTACACTTATTTCCATTCATCCATGACTAATAAATAATTGTGATATTTTATCTATTATTCACAGGGATTTATGGAATATATCTTAATTTTGAATGATAGTCAGTGTCACATGACATTTAAATATTAAACATTCAGTAGACATTTTGCTCAGGCAAATCTGGAAAATTTCAGAAATTCTCCTGTGCTTGTAAAGCCTACCTCTAGATGGCGCATTTCTGGTATATTTTTACCAATGATCCTATCTCAAACACTTCTGGAAATTATTTACTGCCCAGGATACAACTGCCACTGTAATCAGGATTAGCTCTGGAAAGATCCACAGCAATGAGCCTCATGTTAATGAATTTTTTTCTAGAGCAAATATTGGCATACCATTTTGTTGTTGTTGTTTGTCAAGGCCCGGATAGTAAATATTTCAAGCTATGGAGGCCATAAGGTCTCTATTGCAGCCACTCAACCATTATAGCAGAAAGCAGCCATGGACCATAGATAAACAAGTGAGCATGCCTGGGTTCCAATAAAACTTTATTTATGGACACAAATTTGAATTGAAAGGAATTTTGACATATTATAAAATATTTTTTTTTATTTTTTTCAACCACTTGAAAACATAAAACCATCTAGCTTATGGGTTGTACAAAAACAGATGGCAAACCAGACTCAACCCACCAACACCTGTTCTAGAACTTAAAATCTCATGACGTTGATGAACATTATGGTTATTGTGTCTTTCTGTTTCAGGATCAAAATATATGGTAGGGATATTCAACAAATATGAAATTCCCTAACTAAAAGGAGAGCAGCTCTTCTTAATTCTCTAATACATGGCCTGGATCTAAAGAGAAGGTCCAGTGAGGGCAGGAATTCTACCCAAAAACCCAACAGTCACATGGGAGTTCAAAGAAGTGGCAACAGATGGGATACTTACAAAATCTTGAGCCAAAAGTCATTAAATGAAGCAACTACTAGAGATTATGGGGAAATAACTTCCCAAATGTACAACACACAAAGCCAGCTACATAATTTGCAGGGCTTAATGCAAAAATGAAAATGTGGAGTCTCTTGCTCAAAAGTCAAGAAAAATGTCCATTAAAGGCACTTAAATATAGTTTTTTTTTTTTCCTTCTGCAGCCATACTCTTAACTTGTCATGGTTTCTTTGGGGTAGGGGAGTTGCCATTTAGTGTCATTCTAAATAAGTAAAAATTAAAGTTATTGACATACTTTTAACCTGATTCATTTTTATATTGTGCAGTGCCAGTTTTAAATCCAAAGATAAGACCATTACATTTCTATACGGAAATTACACTATTCATAATCCGTGGCTCGTACACACATATGTATTTTGTTCTTACCAAAACAGTGGGAACATTGCACCAAACTTTTTTATCTCACTTCCTTATATGCTCACATTCTACCAATACTCTCTACCACTGGCGTACTAATGAGTATGAAAAGAAATGAAATGGAACTGTGGATCGCCTTATCTTCCTATATAGTTATTTTCAGAAGTTATCGGCAAATACAGAAATGTACCACAAGTAAATATACAATAGGGTTTCTTGGTCATTCATGCTTCTTAGAACACCACTGCCTTCTTTCTACATTCGCACCAAGTTTCACTTGAATGGAAAGCCTGGCCACTTGGGAGCCCATTTCTTGGATTCTAAGCCTTCTCTTTTCTTGTTCTTTTTTCCCTCTAGTGCTTTCCTGTCAAAGGGTGCAAGGGAGGTAAATTTTTTGAGAGCTTTCTTGTCTGAAGATATTTTTATTTTACCCTCACCCATGATGAATTGTCAAAGTAGAGAATTTTAGGTTGGACCGTATTTTCAGTGAGAATTTTGAAGGCGTTCTTCATGGGAATCACGGCTTCCAGAGCTGTTGAAAAGTCTGGAACCTTTCTAATTTCCTCATCAAAGGATATGTAATGTCTTTTCTTCTGATACTTCAAGTGTTCTCTTTTTCTCCATGGTTCTCTGAAATATCCTGTGCAGGTGACTTTCTGTGGTTTCTTTTCATTTATTACTCCTGGTCCTTGGTGCTCTCTTTCAATTTAGAAGTTCAATCCTTTGTTCTAAGGAGATCTATAGAATGTGTCTATAAAATATTTTTTTCATCCTTTCTCTCCTTCTGGAAAATCTTCTTAAGGTTGTTCTTTTTTTGGACCAAGCCTCTGACTTTCTTTTATCCATCTTTTGTCTTTTTTGTTCTACTGTTGGAGAGACCTTAAAGTTTATTTTCAACCCATTTATTGAAAGTTAATTTTGGAAGCTGGCTTTTAATTCTCAGACCCCTTTCTTGTGTTTTGCTGTTCAGTTTTAATGATAGTCTGTTCGGGTTTCAAATATGCAGTATTTTTGTTAATTCTAAGACTATTAATTATAGGTAGCTACTTCTTAAAAGTTTTCTTGAGCTTCCTTTACTGTCTCCATTTCTCCTGAATGCTCTTTTTTGCTTCTTTCTTTCAGTCTTTGTCTTTCATATCGGATTATTTTTCAGCATATGGAGATCTTTGAAATTCTGTCCCAGAGTCAGGCTCTAAATATTCAGAAGCTCTGTGTGTGCATGCATGTATTTTGCTCCCAGGTGCTGGTGTGGTGAGCTTCTTTGGGTAGGAAACACTCTCAAATATATGCATCTGGAGTTTTTTTCCTAGGGTTCTTCAGCTTCCCTAGAGAAGACCCAACAACCAGAGCTGGCGACATAATTTGTGGGACCTCGTACAAAATGAAAATGTTGGGCCCCTTATTCATGCCTAGAAAATGTTCAGTTAGATGTACTAAAATAAATATTTTTCCTGAAAATATTTTATCACTTAGAATACACAATACACATAATAGCTATACATATATATAATGACATTAACTTACAAATTGAAAAAAAATAACATTTTATGTGGTAATTTTATGTAATACAATAAATAATGATGCTTTTTAAATGTGATTTCTTTACTAAACAATAGATTTTTCTGGCTTTTCTGCAAATTCACTTACGAGGTCATGAAAATTTATATTTTTAACAACTTCATTTTCAGTCTATATAATTGAAAGTGATGTCAGTCATTCTTGGGAAGGATTTCAAATAATCTCAAATGGAGACATGAACAAAGACAAAATGGAGGGGAGGAAAGTAGTAAAATAAAAGAATGGACAAGTAAGTTAAGTAGACTCTACATCAAGAAGAGTCTTAAAGTTCAGGCAAAGGAGCTTCATCTAACCTATCGTCGATAGATTTTAAACTGGAGAAGAGTGGAGAAAGGGGAGAAATACTTAGTGACTACATAGTCACTGACAAGCATAGTTGCTTTACATATTTAAACTACTATTTAATAGCCTCACAACATACAAGTACTAATATTGCCATCTTAAAAATAAAAAAAAGAAACCACGCTGGTGGTATGGCTCATTTGGTTGGAGTACCATGCCATAACCCAAAAGGTAGCAGGTTTGATTCCTAGTCAGGGCATGTGCCTGAGTTGCAGGTTCAATCCCCAGTCAAGGCACGTGCAGGAGGCAACCATCTGTTTCTCTCCACATCGATATCTCTCTCCCTCCCATTCTCCCTCCTTTCCCTTCTCTCTAAAATCAATTTGAGGATTAAAAAGAAAAAAGAAATGAAAAACCAAGACTCAGAATGAATGAACTTTGCATTGGTCCCACAGCTAGAAAATGGCAGAACTGGAATATGAATGCTGATATAACGAATTCAAGAGGTCAAGTTCTTTCATGAATGGTGTTGTATGTCAGGAATAATACCTTGACACCTACCTGCTTAATGACCATGATGGAAAGAAAAAAGACTTAAATCCAAAAATCCAATTAAGAGTCTACTAAGTGAGCTAAAAGAAAATGATAGTGACAAGGAAAATAGAAGAGCAAAATGCTTCTAGAGACACTGCAGAAGTAGATTCAGTAGGACCTGCTGAGTTACTGGATGGAATCTAACAGCAATTAGAGATTTCTTAGTAATCTTGAGCAGGACTCAAGGTAAGTCCACCAGCAACTAATGAAGAAGGACGCAAAAGATCAAATTTTGATGCCGTGGAAATTCTGTGTTCAGTTGGAAGTCATGACAGAACATCCAGTAGAAATGTCTGCAGAGTGTAGTAAAGTATGAGTCTAGAAAGGGGAAGAGGCCGGTGCTGAAGATGTTTGTTTAGAATATTCACATGGAGCCAAGAAGGGATGTGATCACCGAGGGAGACTGTGTACAAAACAGGGACACCAAGTGCAAAACTGTAAGGAATGGTAAATTTTAGGGCAAGAAAATAAGAATGGAAGAAAGAAGAGGAGCGAACAGAGATATGGAAGTATTCTTAGAAAGCAATTGTTCAAAACTCAGTAAAACTGGGGTGGTCGGTATCAAATGTGTCCAAGAGGGTGTAGGAGAATAAATATGAGAAGTGATAACTGGATAGAGATGTAGGTCATTATCAATCTTTGAGACATTCATTTCATAAAGTGGTGGGACCAAAATTCAGGAGTGAGTAAGAGGTGAAAAGTGGGGGAAGTGAATACAGAACTTTTTCTAGAAATAATGAAAGGAAGAAATGTAAAAATACAAGAGATCTGGAAACAGAGGAGAACATACAGGCCACAGTCTAGTTCATTTCACAGGTGAAGAAACTGAGGCACAGTCAGATTAACCAACACCTTTACTTAACCTGGTTGGCAACAGAGCTTAGAAAGAAAACCAGTGAAGATGAAATGGTAACTCAGGAGAGATGAGGATCAAAGGAGAGTCCTTTTAATTCTTTAATTTTCATGTAAGACCTGGCCTCCTTCCTCTGGTACCGTGAGACTGT